CTCTAGAAGGCCCCTAAAGACAGGGGCTTTGGCCTTAGTCATTTCTGCCCCCCGCTGGTGCTTGTGCACTGCCTGTCCCAGCTAGTGCTAATCGGTGGCTGCCCACCAACTTGCTAATTACTTACAACCTGCAGAATCATCCCCAGACCCGGTGTACCTGCCTGTGCATCTGTAAGAAAATTTTTTTTACACTCTCAAGTCTGGGATAGGTTATGGCAGAAGCAAGACCAGTGTGGCATGGGAGATTGCAGCCACATGTAAGAAAGGGGCCCCACCCGTTATGTTCTGAATCCTTTCACCACTTTATTCTTCATAGCAGTCCCTCAAGTAGGTGCTGTTGTTTTTCTCATTTTGCAGTTGTGGAAACTAAGGCACCAGGAGCTTAAGTACATTCCCCAAAGGTTGTGGGACTAGTAAGGACAAGGCTGGGATCTGACCACAGAGTCCTGGCTCCACAGCATCTCTGCTCGGCTGTTGAGCTGTGCTCTGGCCTCGATGCGCTTTCCTTCCAGCTATAGATGAGGACCTCAGCAGACACCTGCCCCCTCCAGGGCTTCCTGCTAGCTTGTGTATGGCTTGGGCTCTGGCCCTGGTTACTCTACTCTCCAGTTCCTGGTGGGCTGAAGGTTTGGGGGAATTCCTAAGAGAAGAAATCTTGTAGAACCCTCCCATCCTGGGAGTCCCAACCCAAGTCCTGAGGCTGAGATGCCTGCCTTCAGTCCCCGCCATAAGCTCTTGCCCAGCTATGCCATCTGCCTTGAGCTTTAGGCTGTAACCAGGTGAATCACCCAAAGGAACTTCTGGGTAGGGTATTAGGCTGGAAGCCAGGTTTGCATCTGGCCAGATGTTCCTGAAGCAGAGAAACTGTGTCTCCTCCTTAATTCTATGCTGGAGGAAAGAGCCCCTAAGGCTTTGCTGGGGACTCTAAGATGTAGGGAGTAGAAGGTTAGAGGGGCATGGTCAGTATGGTGTGGGCCTGTTACCAAGGAGTCAGATCAGAGACTGGGACTGCCCATGCCTTTCCTGGGGCCAGCAAGGGGGATGTACTTTTCAAGGGAAACAGGACTGGAAAAACTGGAGAATTCAGGATTAGGATAGCTCTGCTTCACCTCCTCAGGGAGCCCTGCTGCTGTTGTGGTTGCTTCCTCGTCCCACGGTTTGCACAGGAGCTAGCCTCATCCCCTGGGGTGTGACCGAAGGGGAGCTTGGTTCTGATCCTGCCTCCGCGGCTCACTCTCTGTATAGCCACCCGAGATCACAGTCATTTTGTGGGCCTGAGCCTGGATATCTTCAGCTGAACATCAAAGAAATTAGACTCAGAGATCGGGAGGCAGGGAACATGATGGTTATGAGAGTTCAGTCTTTGGCATCAGCCTAGATTACTTGGTTTAAAATCTCAAGCCTGCCGGGGAGATGGCTCAGTGGAATAAGTGCTTCCCTGGCAAGCGCAAGGGCCTGAGTTCAATCCCTGGTTCTGCCAAAAAAAACAAACAAAAAATAAAATAAAATAAGATCTCAAGCCTGTAGAATAAGCTCTTGCCTGGTAAGTGCAGGGTCCTGAGTTCAATCCCTGGTACCAAAAAAAAAAAAAAAATCTCAGCCTGATAGTATGACCCAAAAATACGGTAAATGCTGAGGTTTTTGTAAGTGCATTACAGTAAGACACGTGCCATGATTCCCCCACCAGATGCTGTCCCTTACACACACACTGGTGTCCTCACTCTTGCCACCTGCTGGGGCAGTTGCAGATGTCTCTAGCTGTGCTGTCACCACTGCCCTGAATTGATCCAAAATGCCTACCTTACATGGTCGCTTTGACTTTGGGGAAGAGCCAGAATTTCTGCCAGATCTGGTGAATGAGGTGGGTGGCAACACGCCTCAGTGCTGCCGTGAGCCTGCAGGTCCTGAGGCTGGCACTCAGCCGCGGCACTCACCAGATTTATTTTTTATTACATCTTGTGAAGACACTTTGCAAAAAGTCTTGCCAAAACTGCTTCAGAAAGTGGTGAGAGCGGGCCAGGGAGATGGCTTAGTAGAATAAGCGCTTGCCTGGCAAGCACAAGGACCTGAGTTCAATCCCGGTTCCACCAAAAAAAAAAAAGAAAAGAAAAGAAAGTGGCAAGAAGAATGGACTAAGAGTGTTCAAAGGCAGGGGGGTTCATTGTACTGTGCTTTACTGTAATAAATATGCTTATTTAAACACATGGTATTTTTGTTTACCCCTTGTACATTTCCTCTAAGCTTATGATCTTGAGCAAGTTACCCAATCTAGACAACAGCCATGGTCAGAATTGCATTCCTCCTGGTGTTGCAAAGATTATAGAGGGTGACCTATCTGTTTGACCCCACATAACCATATTTCTCTCTCCCAGTCATAAACTTTAGTGACTTTTTGTCCTACACAAACAAATACAGAGAAAATCATCTTTCTCAGAGAGAAATTCTCATTTCCTCTTTGCACCCCAGTTGAGTTCTCATTTCGGTAGCATTTTGTTGTTGTGATTGCCGAGAGTAGAGTTTATAGAAGCAGGAACAAATTTCCAACCCCTCATCCTGTTGCTAGCGGCGGGCAGGTGATGTCACCAAATACTGAGACTCCTCAGCCAACAGGGCATTACCTTTAATGGAGAAGACAGGAATATCCAGGTAGGGTTTTCTTTAAGGGCTCAGGGCTGAAAATACCAGGGGCGCAGGCCTTGGATCTTGCCTGGAGGTTCCTGTGGGAACAGCCGCCCACCTCAGGCCTCGGAGGGGAAGTGTGGTATTGAGTCTCTTCTTGCAGGAATTGAGCCCAGAGTGGAATAAGCCACCAATGTCCAGTCTCCAGTGTCCCCTGAGTTAACCTGAGTGAATGGAAGATCAGATGGCCCAGGCTGGCAGGAGTAGGAGATGCCAGTACCGTGACACAAGAAGGGATTTCCTGTCAAGAGGAAGTAGGGGCTAAGCCGAGCTCAGACTCGTATTCCTCACTAGTCTCCGGAATCATAAGCAGTCTAATGGAACTTTTCTTACCAGCTGGGCCTCAGTTTACCTTTCTGGAAGGCCACCTATATATTTCCACACATTTTTTTTTCCCTCAGAAATCACTTACAGGGGGGCAGGGAGATGGCTCAGTAGAATAAGTGCTTGCCTGGCAGGTGCAAGGGCCTGAGTTCAATCCCTGGTTCTGAAAAAAAAAAAAAAAAGTCACTTACAGGAAAAAAAAAAAAGTAAAAGAAACTCCTCAAAGTTAAAGGAGTGCAGGGGCTGGAGAGATGGCTCAGTGGTCTAAAGCACCTACTTGGAACAAGCTTAGCAAAGCACAGGGACCGCGGTTCAATCCCACAGCACCACAGGCCAGCCAGCCCCGCCCCCTGGTGGGCTGAGCTGACCACACACACACACACACAAATAAATAAATTAATTAAAAAAAAAAAGTTAAAGGAGTGTAGAGCTGACAGTATAGCTCAGCAGACTAAGTGCCTGCTTAGGCAAGCACAGGGACCAGGCTTCGATCCCCGGCACCACATGCCACACCGGTCCCACCCCCAGGTGCACTGAGCCCTCCACCAAGACCAGGGACCGGGTGGTGCACGACCACTGCAACTCTGAACTGCATAGTGAGACCCTGTACAGAATGCATTTTTAAAAAAATAGTTAAAGGAGTGCAGAAACACACAGGGACCAATGAGCTGCCGTTTCAGATGTCTGCACCCTTTGCTGGTCACCTGGTGGTAGCAGACACCACTGCAGCATGTGCCCAGCACTGCCACCTTCCAGATGGCTCACTCAGTCCTCCCCACAATGCTGTCATGTCACACGTGTGGCCTGGGGCAGTGGGGGAAGCCTGGGGTACTACCTGATGCATTACTGTTTTGAGGTGGAACCATGGCCCCCTTTGCCTCAATCCAGAGTCCAGAAGACCTCTCAGAACTTTCCTCAAAGCTACTACCTGCTAATGAGCTCTCAGTGAGTGGGGCACTCTTAGTGGGGAGCCCAGGGCATAGTCAGTGAAGGAGGAACAGTCTCCCAGGGTTATGTACTCTAAGTGCCAGTGCAAGGCCACACGTGGCTTCAGCTGAGGCCACAGTGGCTCTGCAGCAGGAGCGATCTGGACAGATTGAGACCCTTAGGGACTTGCTAACTTCTCACTGGGAGCAGAGTTGGCCAAGTCACAGGGATGGGTGAGAAAGGGTGTAAGAGTGAGGGTACAGTGGGTGAAGCGAAGGGTTCCGGCCGCAGCCAGATGGGGAGGGGGCACCACTTCCCTTCATGGCCCTTCATGGCCCTTCACTCTCTGCCCCACTCTGGGCTTCCCCATTCCTACAGTGAGTAACAGGAAGGAGCTGTTAGCCGGTTGGTCATGCCCTTAGGGCACGCATGAGAAAAGGGGAAGTGCAGGAGGGGGAAGAGGAAAAGTGAGCCATCCCAGCTTCCTTGGGCCACAAGGCAGAGGGGAGCTGCCTGCTGCCTGCCACCTGCCCTGAATGCTGCTGCCCCCACCACTCCTAATGGATCAGGGGCCTGGCTGAGCTGAGGCACCAGAGGCGTTTGGAGGGCTCTCCCCAAACCTAGTGAATAAAAGTGTCAGAGGGAAGTGTTGGAACGTGTGCTTGTAAAAAGAACAGCCCCTCCCCCTCGTCAGGCAGCCCAGGAGGCCCTGACCCACCCTGATCAGGGTGACGCTGGGGTGCCACTTAGGGGTAGCATCAGCCAAGAGCAAACCAGGTGTCAGAAAGAGCTGCTGTATTCTTGAAGGCGAAGCGTCACACTTTCAAAGGGCCCCTTTGAAGCCTCTCTGGTGGTTCACTTTGTCAATTTTCCAGAGAGCTTCGGAACCTTTGCGGTGTGATCTTTCAAGTCATGGGGTGGAAAAGATAAACAGTCCAGAGCAAGAGAGGCGTCTGTTGTGGGGCCGGCCCAGGTGCGCCCTCTTCAGGGCTCAGGCTGAGCACCAGCCTAACGTAGAGGTCTCTGCCTCCCACAGCTGGGCTCCCATCCTCCTGCCTTTTGCCTTTCAGGATGTGAAAATCTTCCGAGCCCTGATTCTGGGGGAGCTGGAGAAGGGGCAGAGTCAGTTCCAGGCCCTCTGCTTTGTCACCCGGCTGTACCGCAATGACATCATCCCCAGCGAGGCCATGGCCAAGCTCCGGCAGGTCAGTGCCCACCCTGGGCCTGTCCCAGCGAGTTCCAGACCCCGAGCCCCCACCCCAGCCTTAGCCTCCACCCAGCTCGACTCTGCACAGTGCCCCTGACCCACTGCCCTTGCTTCTCTGCCTCTCCTTTTTGCTTGCCTGCCCTTCCCAGAGATATTCAGTCTTCTGAACATGGGGCAGTACTTGATCTAAGAGGTCATTTATCACAGGACAGCTTGCCTGCCCTGCCCACCTCTGCCTCCGAGCAGGACCTTAGAACTTGCCACCAAGCCTCGGAGGTCAGATGGAGAATAGTCTATTTGGCAGAAGCCAGAAAGGCCCGTCTGCTCTTGGGCATCAATTTCTCTGCCAGTTTCAGAGGGCAGGGCTGGGTGCTCCTTGAGGGCCAGCCTGGGCTGGCCGGGCTCTCCAGGGGATCAGGGAAGGACAGGGCAGGGAGCATTCTGGGGCCAGGTGGGAGTGGCTTCTGTCTTGCATGTGCAGAAAAACCCACGGGCAGTGCGGCAGGCTGAGGAGGTACGGGCCCCGGAACAGCTGCACATGGACATTGCTGTGAACTTCACCCAGGGGGGCCTGCTGAGCCCCCATCTCCACAACGTGTGCGCCGAGGCAGCAGACACCATCTACACCCGCCAGGAGGATGTCCGGTTCTGGCTGGAGCAAGGTCAGCTGGGCAGTGGCACTGCCTGGTGCAGGGCAGAAGGAAGAGGGGGAGGAAGAAACAGCGCCTGGGGAGGGAAGGTGGCACCTGGACCAAGCAGCTCTTTCATTCATTCGAGAGATGTTTATGGAACATCTGCAGAGATGGCCCAGTAGACACCCAGTTCTGCTTCCCAGAGCTCCCCCCAGGGGTAGATGAACTGTAGGTGCTCAGTGGCGGGCCCCTAATCCAAGCTGGCTCAGGGAAGCCTCCCTGGAGGAAGTTGGGCCCATATAGCCAGCCAGTAAGAAGAGTCACCCAGAGGAAAGGCCTATTCCAGGAAGGACACAGACCAGCAGATAATCCCCTACCCCACTGGTATTAGTAAGGACACAGACAGATGCCCTTGTCTTGGTGGTCTTCCTGCCCACCTCTGCCGCTGTTGCCTCTCAGAAATCAGCTTTAGAAATCAGCTGGTGTGGTCATCTCTCTCCCAGGATCCTTGAGAACTCCTCCCAGCTCTGTGTGTCCCTGGGTGACATCAGCCCTGGCCAGCTTCCTGATCCTCTCCCTTGGTTCTGTATAGGAGAGACAGGAAAATGTCACCCTTCCAGCACCAGACCCCTGGCAGAAAAAGACCTGCCCCTCCCTGGGATAGGGGCTGGGTTTAGAGGTGTCCGGCAGAGTGGAGTCAAGCTCTTCACACAGCTGTCCCCAGAGACCACTCCCCAAACTGAGGTCCAATGCCTGCATTTCCTGGTGGCTGTCCCCTCCCAAGGTCACAGAGCAGAGCCCAGGAGGGTCCCCTGCCATCTTCCTCTGCCCTGTGCACCCTCCGGTGTGGGTTATGTTTGTGCTACCCCTCCTCCGCCCAGCACTGCTCAGCTGTCACCTCCTCCACGAAGCTGCCCAGATGCCCGTCTGCGCAGCCCACTATAACAATCTTTTAAAGCCCTGGGGGCAGCTGGCCAGATCAGGTCCTGAAGTCAGATAGGCCTGGTTCCTGTCCTGACTCCCTTTGCATTGCGTGACGCTGTTGTTGAACTTCCCTGGGCTGTTTTCTCACTTGTAAAACAAGGGTGTGGTGTGCCAGAAACACGTGGCCTCCCTGGTGCACTCTGGGACTCGGGAGATGAGGAGGTTGAGGATGGCTGTCGTTTAATCCTTGCCTCTCAGTGTGGGCTCTCATCTTGCCTCTCTCCCTAGGTGTGGACAGCTCTGTGTTTGAGGCTCTGCCCAAGACCCTGGAGCAGGCAGAGCTTCCTCGCTGCAGGCAGGTGGGGGACCTCGGGAAGCCCTGTGCCTGTCACTACAGCCTGAGCCTGGCCTGGTACCCCTGCATGCTCAAGTACTGCCACAGCCGTGAGCGGCCCGCGCCCTACAAGTGCGGTATCCGCAGCTGTCAGAAAAGCTACAGCTTCAACTTCTATGTGCCCCAGAGGCTGCTGTGTCTCTGGGATGAAGACCTCTAACCGGGCTGTGAGAAGAGGGGACCTGGGGGCTTCTCAGGTCCTACCTCTCCTTCCCTGGCCACCTGGTGGCGGGCAGAACCCCACCGGAAGCCTTACCTCCTTTCCAGGCCCTTGGCCCCAAGCCTCAGGGCCCCATACTCCGGCATGACTGTGAAAGGAGGTGCACATCAGGGGGACGCCCAAGGGTAGCCCCCACGCCCACCCTGTGCCTTCCTGGGGGCAGACAGGGACAAAGTAGTTCTCCATACGCACCCCACCCTCCTCATCTCCCCTGAAGTGTTCATTTCAAGCAATCAAAATGTGACAGCCTGGGATTCTTCTATGCATCCCAGTAGACCCTAAGAGCCGTCTCTGCCTGCTACACCCCACACCTAGAAGGACCCGGCCCCACAGCACGAGTGAGGGGAATCCTTAGCCCCAGCAGGGTCCCTAGCTGTGGCTCTGTGTGGAGCCAGCCAAGAAACCTGCCACCCTGAGACCAACCATTGTGCCTTCTCACAGACCAGCACTTTGCTACCAGAGCTGGCACCAGCTCCTCCTCCCTCGGAGCAGAAATCATTTCTGTAAGGTTTTGGGGCAAGGAGGGAGCGTGAAGTACGAGGAGAAAGACTTGAATTCCAGATTTTTAATACAAAGTATTTATCATTTGTACCAGAAATAAAAGTTTAAATTTTTATGTGACTTTATGGTAAGCCTTAGACCCTGCGTTGTGAAAGGACTTTTGTCCAATGGCGCCACCTGGTGGCAGCAGTGTCCCTACGCACCATCAGCCAGCAATCTGAGCCCAGCAACTCTAATAGCGCTGTGCCTGCCACTTAAGGAGAGGCAAGAGGCGAGGTGTTCCCAGGAAAGGACCAGATTAAACCTCCACTCCACACATGTGAGGATGAGGCAAGAGCCTGAGGGTGTAGCTCAGTGGCTGAGAACATTCCAGGCCCTGGGCTCCATCCCCAGCACTGAAAAAAAAAAAAGAAGAAGAAACACAGTAAATGTCCAGTCCAGAAGTAATATTGAGCCTGGAACCAGAAATTTGATATTCATCTCGAGGTCCTGCCACTCACTTGCTGTGCATTCTCAAGTCACGTGACTCGCCTCTCTGTCCCTTAGCTGTGCCGTTTGATTCTGTGAGAATGTCGTGGCTGTCACGCGCATCATGAGTGCCGTGTGTCAGCCATTATTATTCATGTTACTGTTAGTGTTGAAAGCAGACAGTGCCTCCTCTCTGACACTAGTCCCTGGGCCACACATGTGAAGGCTCTTCGCTTCCGAGGTATATTCTGGTACAGGAAGCTGTGACAAGAAGTGCTGGGCAGGGGGTGAGGACTTTGGGAAGGAGGCTGTGTGGGCGGTCTTGAGGAACAGCTTCCTGGAAGAAACAGGGTAGGGACTGAGGCTGAAGGGCAGTAGCAGTTCAGCAAGGTGGAGGCAGGAGGCCTTCGGGGGTAGGACGGTCTCGGGTCCCTTAGGGCACCCAACTCCCTAAGAGGCAGGAGGCAGAGTCAGGTCTTTCCTCACGGGCCTTGGGGGAGGGACGGGGCTGGCAGGGCAGTCCCCTCTGCTCTGCTTCCCAGCACCCCAAGACAGGCTGCGCGCTTGGCCATAGGTGGAGGTCACCTTCCAGGTGGGTGTGCTTTTCTGTATTAAAGACCTTCCAGCCTTAATGCCTGAGCCCAGCCTTGCTGGGGGCAGAGGGAGGGAGGCACACCTCACCTGTTTGTCCTCCTCCTGCTCCACCTAGGGCCTTTGTCCTGAGCCCTAGCCACTGCTCTTAAGTGCTTTTAAATAAGCAGAAATAATATTCCTAATTAATGTTTTCAAGATGTGGACTGTTGGGGCTGGGGAGATAGCTCAACAGTCTAAGCGCCTGCCTGGCAAGGGCAAGGACCCCGGTTGGGTGCCTGGTGCCACATGCTGTGCTGGCCACTGAAACTGGATGTGGTGACCCACACCTGTAATCCCAGTGCTGGCGAGGCTGAGACAAGAGGATCACCACCAGTCCAATCTCTAGTGAGACCCTGTGCCAGATACAAAAATGAAAAAAAAAGATGTGGAGTGCTTTGCTGACCTTGCTGGAGAAGCCCCTAGCCTGCCTGCCTCCTGCATTGTAGAACTTCTGGCCACTGTTACTGCACACATTCCTGCTCCTTCCTCCCCTGGGAGGCTGGGGGTGAGACTAAGAGTCCCTGAGACTCAGGTTGGCCTCACACCCAGCAGACACCTGCTGAGGCATGGCGGGCTGAGCAGCAGTCCACCGACACAAACCACCTCCAGGCCACCCTCCTCCCCATGCAGTCCCAGCACCCTAGTGCCCTTGGCAGTCCGTGCTCTGAGACACTCATGTCTGTGTGCATCACAATCAGTCAGGGCTGCTAAATACGCACAGGTGCCCAGCTGTTTGAGGTTACTGAGATAGTTACCCTCAGCAGGGCCTTGCAGCTGCGTGAAAACTTCTGGGAGAGGCCACATAGTCTTCGTTGCTCTGTGGCACTTCAGTTTGTCAAGTGTCTTCATATGAATTAGCCCCTTGGCTCCTTGTTGAGGCCCAGTGGCACTTGACAGGTGTGGCTTACCCATAACGTAGGATTGCCCGAGTCAGCTGGTTAGAAGCCAAGCTGGGATCCCACTGCTGGCCACCCGACTCCATCCGGGCTTCTTCTGAACCCCAATGGGTTTGTCAGGCTGGCCAGTGGAACCTTGAGCACAGCTCACCTATGAGAGGGAGACACAGGTGTGGGGCGGATATGCCCGGGCAGGGTTCCCAGGCTCCCCGGGAAAGAGCTGGCATGGAGGAACAGGGTCCTAACAGGTCCCCTTGGCTTAGGTGAGCAGGGACCCCACGAGCCCAGACTTCCCAGGTGCCTCTTTCAACTGGAGAGGGTGACAGTTCCAGCCGCCTTGACAGCACTGCTGGTAGGGCTGGGCCAGGTGTGGACGTTCGTTTGTTCTAGGCATCTCTCCTGGCAGTCTTGTCAGCCAAGGAAGGTGCTAGTCCAGGGAACTGTGGGGCCCCAAAGTTGGGAAGCCCTGCTGCCGAGACTCCATGGGACCTGGGTATGGAGGGCAGAAGAGGAGTCTGTTCTAAAAAGGAGCAAGAGCCCCTCTTGAGAACTGCTTTTGAGACTAACAATGCCTGTGAAGAAGGTGGTGCCAGCTAAGTCCCGGCTCGGGGTGGCAGGAGTGTGTCACTCCCTTGCAAAGCCTGCTGTCTTCATCTGATAAGACAAGGGACCTCAGCAAGTTGCCTCCATGGTGTCGCAGCTCCAGCACTCCATTTTAATCAGCTAATGCTGTATTCAGCCAGGTTTTCGCCCTTTGGCCACAGCAGGCAGTTCAGGTACCTCCCGAGACTTGCTCTTACCAGCCAGGCTGTAGGTAGAGCCCAGTAGAGAGAGTGGTCCTGTGAGAGGCAGAAGCCCACAGACTGTGGTAGATCCTGTCAGGCAGCCTTTCATATGTGGCTGTTTAGTTCACACTCTTGTGGAGGGTGTCCAGAATGTTGGATTCCTGAGCTATCAGCTAGGGTTATCCATAAAAACAGAGTCAACAGATACAGGAAAAAGATGCCCCTCCCCCAGTACTAAAGGCAAAACACAGAGTCTTTGCAGAGAGCTACATCCCTGGCCTTTTTGTAATATATTTGTTTTCATTATGAGAGAGGGTCTGGCTAAGTTGCCTGGGCTGGGCTCAAGCTTGTGAGCCTCCTGCCTCAGCTTCCCAAGTAGCCAGGATCACGGATGAGCTCCACTGTGCCCAGCTATGTTGCAGTCTTGAGGCAAAATCCCTTCCTCAGGAAACGTTAGTATTTGTGCTTCGCCCTCACCTGATTGGATGAAGCCCGCCCTCCCTTCCTCCTAGGGTACTTGCCTTAAAGTCTACTGATTATAAATGTGAATTATATCTACAAAACAACTCCACAGCAACCTACAGGCTGGTGTTTGACCCGACACTCTCAGGGGACCAGAATCTAGCAAATGCCATCACTTGTGGCCATGTGGTCACGAGAAACGTGATACTATCCCAGGGTCCATTCTCTATATCACCTGCAGGCAAGCAACAGCTGAACATCTGTCCCCCCTCCACCCTCCTCAGCCTTTGGATGGATTTCACCCTCACCCTCTGGCTTCAGCCAGTGAGAAATGCCACATGCCACTCCTGAGGGCAGGCCGTTGGGCCACAGGGTCCCTGCATCTCTCTGCTTCAGTGCCACACATGAGGCTTTGGCTCCATCCCTCCCGGACTCTGAGTCTCCCTTGGCTTCCACACCACTGTTTCCTCCTCTTGTCTCTTTGCCTGGGCTTTGCAATCTTGCCCTTTCTGGGCACTGGCCACCGTAGGCCTGTCACAACCCATAACCAACCCACACCATCAGTCAAGGTGAACTGCTTCTTGCAGAGAAGTTGCAGCTGGGTACCTCAAAGAACAGCTGTGACAAGGAAGGGGCCACAGGCAAGGCAGGAAGTGCAGGAGGTCTAGACCTCCAGAAGTTTCCAGTGCAGCAAGGGAAAGACTGGGCCACAAGCAGGCTCAAGACCCAGGCCCGGCAGAGCTGGGATGTGCCCTCTGCCCTTCAGGGGTGGTGCTCACGGCCCTGGCATGACTGTCTCACTGCCTGGGCCCTGGCTCCTACTACGTGTCCTGTTGTGACAATGTCCTGATTCCTAAGCAGAAAGGGGTGGGAACTGTTTTCAGGTCCCTCCTACCTTTCTGGAGCCCTTCCCGCAATGGAGGAGTGTCCCTGCTCCCCACCCACAGGCTCTAAAGTCCAGTCCCTCCCTCTTCCTTCAGTACTTGCCTCTCTGGGGAAGTTGTTCTCTCTCTCTTTCTCCCTCCCTCCATCTCCCTCTCCACCATACTTTTTCCTGCCTCTTTGTCATTGGTCCTGAGAGTGCTCAGCTCCTCCCCATCCTAAGGGAATGTCAAGCCCCAGCCAGGCCCTCTCTGCCCCTTTCTCCCTGCTCTTCCTCAGACCCATTTCTAGCCAGCACCTCCCTTGCCATCACTTGTCAGCCTGGGGACCCATGGCTGGGCTGCCATCTGCGGTGATGTGTCTCCCTGGTCACTTGATACTGAAAGTAGGCAACCATGTCCCCCCATCCAAGGGTTGCTCTGCAAAGTCATCATCACTCTCACTCATGCTTTTCCATTTCAAGGACTCAGAACCCTTCTGCTCTGCTTGGAGCCCTGACCTTTGTCCACTACCCTAGGGTGCGGCCCTTGCTCCCTCTGCTTGTAACATTCTGACTCCTTGTCACTAGGAATCTCAGCTTAGGTGTCCCTTCCCCAAGAAGTCCTTCCTGACACCTACCTCCAAACATGAGAGGGGGTGCCCCACAGAGCTTCCCATAGTACCCTGCCCTAGCCCTGTTAGAGCACAGGCTGCAGGCCGAGGGAGTTGCTCACTGGTCAACAAGTGGGAGCCGACTGTGACTGTGCTATTCCTGAGGGCAAACAGCTGTTATATTCCAAGCTCCTAGCCTGCTGTGTAACTCCCGCAAGTACTCAGGACAGTTGGATGGATGGATGCTGATCTTCGTGTGTGTGTGCGTGTGTGTGTGTGTGTGTGTGCGTGCGTGCAGCTCTAAAGGGTGGGGTGGGAGGTGGCAGGTAGAGTAGACACTCAACAAGACCAAGAGCTTCTGCACTAGGTTGACTCCAGCTGGGGTTCTATGGTAAGGTCCAGC